TCAAGACTTTTTGAAGACCTTCTCAATATGTTACCTCACCGCCATTTCAAGATGTATCGATGTACAGTGATCAGTGATACTTTTAACATTTCGGTGCACTCGTAACACGCACCGGGAACACCAGAGCACACATTGTGGTTTTGAAACTTTTGCCACGCCCGCCCTAGTGCTCTGAGAGGAAAATTACTAAAGCACCCACAATACCCTGTTCTTTTTTAATTTTTTTAAATAAAAATGACAAAATGTACAAACTTTTACGATGTTTTACGGATGCAAACTGTTGAGACGGGGTTAATTCAGAAAAAATCATTTCAAAATTTAAGACTTTATAAAGCCATGATAATACTTTTAAGGGTCTTACTTTTACAAAATTGATTTATCACCTTTAATACTTTCGAGACTCTGCGGATACCCTGCCTGTTTAGTTTTGTAGGAACCCCTTTGACAAAATCTGGCATAATACCTCCAAATTCTTCTGGAGCTCCTTTTAACTTTAAACCTTTTACAGTGCATGAAGTTCATAAAGCTTTAAAAAACATAGGTCACAGAAAGCCACCTGGACCTGATTTCATAGAACCTTATTTTTTAAAGATAGCAGCGGATTATGTGGCAGAGCCACTTTCATTTCGTTTTAATCTTTCAATTAACTCCAAAGAAATTCCATCACAGTGGGAGTCAGCATATGTTTTACTATTATTAAAAGGAGGGGATCCAGCAGTTTTGACAAATTATAGGCCAATATCAAATTTATGGGTGCTTTCCAAGATAATGGAGTCACTTGTCAGTGTTCAGCTAAAAGAGTTTTTGTCTATTAATGACATCCCCTCGAAATGTCAATTGGGGTTTAGAAAAGGGTACAGCACTACTACAGCTGTTATGAAGGTGGTTAATGATATTATAGTAGCACTTGATAGGAAACAGTTTTGTGCCTCACTGTTCATAGACCTGTCTAAAGCTTTTGATAACGTTGACCATGCTATTTTAATGAACAGATTACTAAGCCTTGGGTTGTCAGCACTCAGTAGCATGGTTCTCAAATTACCCGACTAACAGGACACAGTGTATTAAATGTGAGGATCTTTGCTCTGATTTTGGGGTTGTCCAGAGGGGGATGCCCCAGGGATCAGTCCTGGGGGCCCCTCCAATTTATCTTGTACATCAATGACTTGGACCAAAATATTAACGATGCTAATTTCTATGCAGATGATAAGATCATCTATTGTTTTGGAACATCACTTTCTCAGGTTGTTGAATCCCTGCAGAAAGCATTTGACGTAGTCCAGCACCCATTACATCAGCTAAAGCTAACCCTTAATGCTGAGAAGACTAAGTTGATGTTTTTACAAATAGGCAAATGCCAAATAGTGTTCCAGAAGTAATCACATTGGAAGGGAAATCATAGAGATGGTCCATGAGTATAAGTACCTAGGTGTTTGGATAGATAACTCTCTTACCTTTAAATCTCATATAGATAAACTGTTGAAAAAATTAAAACTAAAGCTGGGTTTCTACTTCCGTAATAAGTCGTGTTTTTCTTTTGAAGGAAAGAAGCTACTTGTCACTACTACCTTTTTATCTGCACTAGAATATGGTGATCTTATATATATATAAAATGCTTCTTTAACTGTACTACAAAAACCGGACTCGGGTTACCATGCGTCTCTGAGATTCATCACAAGCTGTAGAGCCATAACACATCACTGTGAATTATATTCACCAGTGAAATGGCCGTCATTGACAATAAGAAGACAAAATCATTGGTATATTTTTATTTACAAGGCCTCTGTTAGCAGTTTCAAGTCGGCCCTGAAAACGCACTTCTTTAGCATTGCCTTCCCTCCGTGACACTTTTCATGACAATCTAGCACCGGATTTGAGTTTTTAATTCCATTTTTATGATTTAGTTGCTCACTTTTGGCACCTCGCACCATCTGGTATTTTATTTCGTTTTATTTGTGCCATTTCAAATGTTTTATTATTCGTGGCATAATTTTATTTTATAGTGCTGTTAACTGTTCTCCTATTTTATTGTTTTTAGTAGGAATTTTTATCTCCGACTATTTATGCTTTCTTCTTATGTATTTTGCCTGTTCTTATTGTGTTTCTTGGTCAAGCATTTGGCTTTTTATGTACAGCACTTTGGTTAGCTGCCATGCTATTTTGAAATGGTGCTTTATAAATAAATATGAATAAATATGGTATGGTATGGTAAGGCAGTGTTTGGATTGTTACCTCCTTATATTTGCCCATTAATCACACGAAAAAATGTTGATTCCCATTCTTTAAGGTCTAACGATCAGTTGCTACTTTCTGTTCCTTTTGCTCGCGCACCGTTAGGAAAGAGAGCCTTTGCCTGCTCTGCTCCTTCTGCTGGGAACCAGCTGCAGAAAACCTGGAAAATGACTGAGCAGGTTTCACTAAATGCCTTCAAAACCAAACAGAAAGCCTAACCCCCAAATTCCACTACCTCCGCTCCGCTCCGCTCCGCCACGAACGCCGGAGCAAAATCGGTCCCGTTGTAGTCAATCAGAGCAATTCCACTACTGCGGCCGTGCTCCGGCAGTGCGGCGCCGTGCGCTGCCCTCTGTTCCGGCGTCCGGCAAAAATAGAATCGATCCTATTTTCGCCGGACGCCGGAGCACCTCCGCAGTCAATGGACAGAAATCACCACCGCCCAACAGGAAAAGGAGCAAGCACACTTTCCGTTTTTCACAATAAATCGATAAACAAAAGGCGTTTTTTGTTTCATATGCACAGGTTTAACAACTTTTAACAACTATCAATGGCGGCTGAACTTTAAATGCACAAAAGTAAGCCATAAATATAGTTTCTACTATCAAAGTAGTCACACTTTGTTGATCCAAACACTGCTGATCTCTCAACACAAATGATGGGCAGATTAAACAGTTCATGCCGATGCTTCTCTCACACAATGGGTGTTTGGATCTAACTTCCGCGTTTATTGCTCGGACTGTATCGCAAGATCTTGAAAATCCCGCGCATGCTTGTTTGCCCCCCTCAGGTCTCCGCACCGGAGCTGAGCCGTTGTAGAGCGGATACCAGTAAAAATTGAGTTCGGAAGCGAGCGGCTGCGGAAGGCGGGGGCGGACCGCAGCGGAGTGGAGCGGAGGTAGTGGAATTTGGGGGTCAGAGACTGCATTAGTAACTTGTAACAGCTTTTAATGATTGAGTGTTTTATCATTGTCATTATGTTGTAACTGTTTGTGTTTTTGCTGCCTCTTGGCCAGGACACCCTTGTGAAAGAGGTTCTTAACTTCAATGGGTCTCTATCCTGGTTATAGAAAGGTTAAATAAAAAAAATGAACAAGGAATACTTGTGAATCAGGAGTACTTGTGATCCAAGAGTATCCGTGATCCAGGAGTACTTTTGAACCAGGACTACTTAGGATATGGGAGTATGTTTGAACCAGGAGTACTTACGATTCAGGAGTATTTTGAACCAGGAGTACTTACGATTCAGGAGTATTTTGAACCAGGAGTACTTATGATTCAGGAGTATTTGTGAATGAACTATTCTAAAAGAGGTGAGCATCCCGTTACCTCAGCCTCCTTTTGTTGGAGCAACCTTCTGATTTGTTCCTTCTCCCTCAGCTGAGAGGTGACCTCCTTCTCCTCCTCCTACAAAAGAAACAGAGTACTCATGAGGAGTTTCATTAAAGAGATTTAGGAGAATTTTCACTCACCGCTCTTCCTCCTCCGCTCTGGACTTCTCGACTCCTCCTCAGTCCGTCGGCCTCCACTTTTTGCTCCGATAAAGAACATCCGTGCTCTTCCAACAGGCCTCTGACCTGGCTGTGCTCAGTGCCGTTTTCCAGTGGCTCCTCTTTGATCTTCTTCAACTCTACCTCCTCCTGTCTGTTCCTCAACATCTGGATTTCTGTGTGAAGATCTTTTAGCTTCCTCTCCTGTTCCTGTTCCACCTCCTCCACTCTGCTCATCCACCTCCTCTCAGCTTCAGCTTTTCTCTCCAGCTCTCCCATCACCTCCCTCTTCCTCGTCTCCAGGACCTTGATTCTAGCTCTCAGCTCTTCCACCTCTTCTGTCCTCTCCACCTCCTTCCTGAGAGCCTGTTGATTCTCCTCTCTGACTCTCGCCACCTCCTCTTCCTTCTCCTCTATCGTGTGCTTTAGATGCTCCCCCTCTATGTGGCTCTCCTAATGGGGGCAAGGGGGGTTAAAACATGCTTTATTTCTCCACAGATGTATGTCTGTCTCCAGCAGGAGGTGCTGTACCTGCAGGAGATGTTTCAGGTCCATCACCTCCTCCAGCGCCACCTTCAGATCCTCCCTCATTGTCTGTTTCTCCTCCTCCTTCTCCCTCACTTCCTGCCATGCTTGCTCCCTGCTGTGGCTCAGATCCAACACCTGCAACAAAAATCATGTTTAGATCGGACCTCCTCTGGCACCTCCCATCTTCCTTTACTTCTCCTGTACCTGAGTCCTTAGAGAGCTCTGGCTCCCCTCCATCTGCTGAACACTCTGTTGCATTCCTCTCAGCTCCTCCTGAACCTTCTCCCTCCTCCTGGACTCCTTCTGTACCTCCTGTTGAAGAACTGCAACTTCTTCTTTCTTCTGCTCCAGCTTCTCCTGGGACTCCAGCTTCTCTTTCTTCACATCCTCTCTCAGAGTGACCACCTCCATTTCTACCTTTGTTAACGCCCCTTTCATCTGCTCTTTCTCCCTCTGCACCTCCTCCGTGAAGACCGTTAACTCACTCCTTGCCTTCCTGAGCTCCTCTTGCACCTCCTCTTTCTGCTTTATGAGCACATCCTGCTCCTCCTTCTTCACCCTTATTTCATCGTCAAGCTTATCTTTAAGCACAGACACCTCCTTCTTGCTCCTCAACAGCTCTTGATGCACCTCCTCCATCTGCCTTTTTAGCTCTTCCTGGGCCTTATTGCTGTTCAGCTGCTCCTTTGACCTCCACTCCTCCTCCTTTAAAAGTTCCTCCTGGAACTTTTCTTGGGCCACCTCCTTTTCTCTTTGTGCCTCCTCTCTCAGAGCTGTCACTTTATTTATAAATCCTTTGAGCTCCTCCTCCTTTTCCCTTTGCTCCTTAACCTCCTGTCTGAGTGCATCAAGCTCCTCTTGCTTCTCCCCCAGCTCCTTGTGTGCCTTGTCTTTCTCATTCAGCACCTCCACTCTCAGAGCTGCCACCTCCTTCTCCCTCCTCCTGAGTTCTGCTGAGAGTAAAGCTTTCTCATCCTCCAGCTCCTTCACCCTGAACCTTCTCTTCTCCTCCTCCAGAAGGTGCTGATCTCTCTCAGTCTCCATCACCCTCCTCTGTTCCTCCATCTTCTTTAGTTTCTCCTCTTTAATCCTCAGCACCTCCTGCTGTTCCTCCAATTCTTTCTCCTTCTCTATCAGTTGCTCCTCAAGCCTCATCACCTTTTCTCTTTCTCCGTCCAGTGCCTCCTTCAGTTTGGTTTCCAGCCTCCTCCTCTGCTCCTTCATCTCCTCATTTTCTTCCATTCTATCCTCTAACCTCCTCCTCTCCTCCATGGCTCTGGCAAGTACTTCTTTCTGTTTCTGTTGCTCATCCTCCATCTCCCTCACTTTCTCCTCTAATTTAATTCTTCTCTCCTTCTCAGTTCTTCTATGCACCTCCTTCTCTCTTGTTGCTTCCTCCTCCTCCTCCAGTGCAAGTCTTAAACGCTGCACCTCCTCCTGTTGTTCTTTTAGGATTTTAGTGAGCCTTGTTACCTCCTTTGCCACCTTTTCCTCCTTCTCCTTCCATTGTCTTACCTCCTCTTTCAGCCTTGTACAGACCTCGTCCCTTTCTCTGGTCCTCCTTTCTGCTACCTCCCTCTCAGCCCGTGACTCATGCAACTTCATGGTCTGGGAGGAGCAAATTTGCTCCTTTTCTTCTCTGTCCCTCTGTTCCTTTTCAAGAAGAACCCTGGTTTCTTTCAGCAGAACCTCCAGCTGCTCCACCCTCATCTCCTCCTGCTTCAGTTTGGTTTTAACAAACTCGTGCTCCCTCTCTCCTTCCTCCTTGCGCTCCTTCTCCATTCTTAGGAGCTTGTTCAGAATGTCCAACTCCTTCTCCCTCTCCCATACCACATTCAGCTGCTTCTCAAGGCTGCACTCTCTCCTCTGCACCTCCTTCTTCCTCTCCTCACTCTCCTCCTGAGCCACACTCAGTCTTACATTTAGCAGTTCCACCTCCTTCACTTTATCCTCCAGCCTGTCCTGCGCCTCCTCACTTTCTCTCAGCAGTTGCTCCCTCTGCCTTCTCTCCTCCTCCCTGCATACCTCTAACATGGAGGCTTCATCTCTCAGTCTACTGACCTCCTTCTCCAGCTCCTCCTCCCTTCTCTTCCATTTGTTCTCCTCACTCTTCAGCCGTTGAACCTCCTTCTGGATTTGCTCTTTCTCTCCTTCTAATTTTTCTATCTGCTCACAGAGCGCCTCAGTCTCCCCATTCCTCAGCTTTTCTTCCTCCCTCCTCTTCTCCTCCTCCTCTATCTGGCTGAACTCTCTCCTCTTCACCTCCTCCTCCAGTTTCTCCTTCTCCTCCTCTGTTTGCTGTATTCTGTCTAACATCAGGCTAATCCGTGCCTCTCCCGCCACCACTTCGTCCCTTAGCCTCTCAACCTCCCACTGTCTCTCCTCCATTTCCCCTGAAAGTCCATCGATGCACCTCCTCAGTGCCTCCAGCTCTCCATCTTTTGTACCAAGCTCTCGACTCAGAGCTCCTCTTTCTCTCTGCCAGGCCTCCTCCTCTGCCCTGTGGTCCTTGTCTTCCTCTGATGTCCTCCTCAAGTCTTCCACCTGTTGCTGCAGCGCCTCCCTGTCATCTTGTCTCCTGGAGGCCTCCCGCTGCAGCTCTCCTCTCAAACACTCAACCTCTCCTTCAGACAGAGATACAGATGAGCCAGAGTGGACCGAGCCTGGGGGTTTTGGTTCTGACCCGCTAGAACCCGACTCACCCTGTAAGGCAGCTTTGGCCTGCTGCAACGTCCTGATATGTGTGGTCAGCTGATTCCTGTCCACCTCCATCAAGGACAGCTGCTGCTGCTGCTGCTGGAGCTGCAGGTGGTGTGACACTGACAGGGACCTGGGGAAGGAGCACGGAGAGGAGGCGTGTTCACGTTCACCTGGCAAGTGTGCGTGCGTGTCACTAGGTGTAACCATTACCTGAGCTCCTGCAACTCCTCCTCCAGCTGTTCCCTGCATTTCCTCAGATTGTCTTGCTCCTCCTGCAGCATCCTACTCTCCTTCTGCTGCTCCTCGTGTTGTTGGTCTCTTCTCTTGACCTCCTCCTTTGCATTCATCAGCTGCTGCTGCACCTCCTTCAGCTCCTCACACACCAAAGCGTGACGGGAGGAAATCTGAGGACCACCAGGGTACATGTGGGGATCTCAGAGTTAAATTTAAGACTTTCACAAATAAAATTAAGACTTTATCACAATGAACTAATTAGCTATCGTAAGAGCCCATTTGTTTGCTATTTTGGTTCAGATTTGGGAATAACAAACCTCAGAATATTTTATTTTGTAGTTCTGTTTGTTTTCTGTGTTTGAGCTTCCAGCTGACAGTAAAATGTCATGTGATCAGATCTGATTTGATCAGCTCAGCTGGAAGCAACAGTTTTTTGACCGAGACGTACTGTGAGATTATTTTCCTCAGATAAGTGTTTTTAACCCTCTCAGGCTCAAAATAAGTTTTGATGAAAGGACGAACAACTAAGTCCTTCAGGGGTACTTCTGAGTTAATAAATGCTCATGAGTACGTGTGTGGAGTAACCAGGTAGGTAGGTTTTAACGTTGTACATCTGCAACGCCTGCCTCCGGAGGGTTAAGACGACGACCCGGTCTCAGTCAGACGCTGGTTGTTAGACTGGAATCCAAAAGTGGCACAGACACAACGACAGCATGGAGCATCATCACTACACATGTGTATATTATTTTAAAACAATCTAAAGGTTTTAAATCATATTCTGTGAATATTATATCTAAAGGGATTTAATGATTAGTTAATTAAGCAACACAAATCTTAGGTGTGTTCTTGCTGTGTCATGGTTCTGATTCCATGCTGTCGTTCTTTTTAAAACACAGAGACAGTTTTGTTTACCTGTTTTGTTTACACAACATTAAAATGCACAAAAACTAAAGCTTTCCCAGCGTTACAAATGCAACAAGTTGGCAAGTATGAGAGCAATGTATTTTACATTCACATCAGTACTAACCAAATGTAAGACTTTACTAAACCTCATGCATATCCAGACACCTGAAACATGACTGTTATGGAAATGTTATGTTTAATTATTTCTTGATCATTAATACTATTAACTGAATGTCCTGAAAGCATACACACACACACACACACACACACACGCGTGCGCGCACACACACACACACACACACACTGTCTCTCTCATCTTCTTGCATAAATAAACTCTGAGACCAGAAGCTCGGGGCAGTTTGCCTATGAGCTTCTGCCCAGAATGCTATCTGATGGCTTTGTTTGCTTATTTGTCTCCTTTTCTCTCTCAGTGCAGGTAATGGGTTTATTGATAAATTCCCTAACAATTATGCAGGTCAAAACTGGCCTAGTTAATGAGACCAAATTGTGGCCTAGCAGTTTGGTCTAGGAACGTTCCATCGGAACCTCCACAGCCCCTAGCATCATTCTGGCTGGCCAATCACAGCTTTATAGGGGTTTCAAACCCATACAGCACTGTGATTGGTCCACAAAGGTGGGCCAATCATAGTGCTGTATCTGCTTATAAAGCCAATCAGGGCCCTCTATTCATCTGGTGGGCAGGATGATGCAACAGAGAGGAACAATATGGCGACAGCTCATTTGAAACGGCTTTAACATCAGTTTTGGACTACGTGGAATTGTGCTTTATTAAAATCGGGAGAAGATAGATGTGTTTAAGTCCTTTATCAAAAAGGTTGTATTTTCTCCTTCATCAACAGCGGACTTCCTTGTTTACTGACATCTGTTGCGGTTTGTTGTCCAGTAGCATGTGGAGATGGTTTGAAAGACAACAGTAGAACCCGCCCCATGACCGAGAGCCATCAATGGAGCGTTGCCAAACTAAATAAATATATTATTTAGTCTGGCTTGCCAGGCTAGGTCAAAACCTCCCCTAGCTTTCACCTCCTCCTTACCTCCTCCAGCCGCTGTCCTGATGTCTGCCACTCCTCCAAGGAGAACAACTGGTTCTCCTTCTCCTCCACACCTCTCTCCAATTCTGCCAGTCGTTCTTTTAGCCGACGGATATCATCAGCGTCTACTTCTGTCTGAGTTCTGAGGAACAGAAAGGAGCAGGGTTTTGGGGGTGAGGGTACGGTTTTCACGATACTAAAATTTCAAACTCGATTTGATACTGGGGAAAAAACTCGATACTCGATTTCGATACTATTTAAAAACACCAATTTATTGAACAAGTTTATTCAAAAAATAACATTCCTCAATTTATATTGCAAAAATTTAATGTTAAGAATTAAGTGAATAAAGTGCGTAAACCTTTCGAGTATCAGCATTTTTTAAAACGTGCATACAAAAACTGGCGAAAGTTAACACTTTAAATCATGAATTGTCTCACTATATGTACACTATTTGCAGAGTGATGTTTTGCTGCTTAAACTCTGTTTAAGTAGCATTTTTGTCATAAGCTGTAATGCCATATGTTTTGTTCTGTACTTCTGAACAACTCTGTTGGTCAATAAAGGGAGAAAACAAATTTCTCCACAGTAGGACAAAGGTAAATCTACCGGTAATCTTACTAAAAACAGATTGGCGCACGGCAGTGATGTAATTAAAAGCGCCGGTTAGATTAGCCGCGGCTAGTCTGTTCACGCCTAGAAATCCCAGACCCGTTCCAAACGAACAGGGGAATCACGTTATTGATTCCTAACAAAACCTTTCGACATGAAGATGTTTTGGTGCAGATAATGTCTTATTTCGAGGCTGCACCATGGGTGCCCGTCCGCACCCGTTATATTGATATACACTGATGGCGATTCGCCGATGGATCTAAATAACCCGGGGAATCCAAGTAGCACCAAAGTTGTCAGCGTGAGTAAACAAACGTACTGCATGCTAGAAATTAAGTCCGGGTTGCAATAAACGGGAGTTTTCCTTTAAGCATATAAGCGTGAATATACAACTACGTGTCTGACTTGGTATGCTAATTAAGTTGGGCTGTGAAGCGCCTCCCAAATTCGCTGTTTATGTTTTTGTTTATTTATTTGGCAGACAAAACTTGGATCGGAGACAACTCGCGTGGGAAATTGCAATGTAACTCTCTAACTCGAGGGGGGCCCAGCCTTCTTCGTCCTGTTTGTATGCTGACCTCACATGTGTGTGTGGTCTTGCTTTTAGCTTAGGATGATACCATGTGGACTGTGGTGGTCAGTTTCTGGTGAATTTCAGCCCCACTGGGGGTACCGATTGGACTGATCAGAAAGAATATTGGATGGTCGTTGCTGAAGACAAGTCAAATTCCACAGTGATCCCGCAGACTCTTTTGTGCTTTCTCGCTACAGGCCGTGAAACCAAGGAGGTTGGGGTCCTGATGCAAGTGCTGCTACCAGATGGGGCATCAAGGTCACTCATCTCATCCCTCCCACTGCTGCTGAACTGCTGAGGGGGTCGCCACGACTGAACCATCCTCATGCGAGCTCACCGAGGACGGCAGATAAGTAAACGATCTGCCTTAAGCTTGCAGGGTCCATCCACCACACCATTGCTGATGTTTGGTGGTCGCACTCTACCCTGGAACCGCCCTTCAGCGTCTGACGGAACGAGTGGGAACAAGCAGCAGTTGGGGGAACACCGGAATACACTGTGACCTGCCCCCAACGATGTCCGGATCCAGCACCCCAAATCTCCTGTCTGGTTTCATGCCTCCCTGACCAAAAAGACATCCCCTCACCGTCCCAACCGTCACAGGATCCCACGTTGCTATAACAACATCAAAGTTGCTGCCACACGCCTTTTGCTCAGGATGGCTCTCTCTCCTGCCACACAACTGATGTGGCCTAAAGTGCAGATTGGCTCCCTGCCACCCGCCTCACATCGCATGAGGACGCCGTCCCTATGAGGACTTTCGAGCTGAAGTAAGAGAGTCTGGGTCTGTTATGACCTTTTGCCTTTTTCCACCAATAAAAACCAAGCCCCTCACATCGACGGCCCCACCACCGGGACTCTTCTGTATCATCTTGACGAAAGTGCAACACCATCCCAACGTGATCTTCATTGCTCTGCCCCCCACTGCAGTCCCACAGAAATCCCTACTGATAAGCCCTGTGACCCTCGGCTCTGCCCCAATTAGAGCTGCTAAAGCCCCCTGACGCCTCCCATGCTTCATAGATTGGCTGTCAAGAAGAAATTGGAATCGACTTTTGTGACAATGTTTGTTCCGTGTTTAAGCCTTGTTTGTGGTAAAAGAATGGTTGACAGACTCTTGACAGGGGCTTTAGTTCATAATTTACCTAATAAAGCTTTAGTTCATGGTTTCCCCTAAAAAAGTGGTTTCATTATGGTTTCTACGATGCAGTTTCTGTAACCACTGTTGATTGATGTCCTGGTAATCAGCTTAGTTAATTTTATTTTCTTTTATATCTTTTACTTAATCGGTTTAATCGTTATCCTTTGATTTTGAATCATAGAATGGTTGTTATGACTTGACCCCTACTATAATCATTCATTTTCCTCCAGGTTGAAAAGTGTTGCAGCTGCTTTAAATTTGTTATTCCTTTGGTGATTCTCTGTGTGGTGGGGGTGTGTCCTTTGCAGCAATGATAGTAGACCTGTTGTTATGGTTTTATTAGTCTGCCGGTTATTTTGAATGAACTTTGCTTATGGTTTCAACAATGTCAATAACACTTTCTGTATTGTCTGCCCCTTGATGTATCCTTTGTGTGGTACAGGTTGTTCCTTCTCTTGCGGCCATTTTGTTTTGGAGGTCAGTACTTATATTGTGTTTTTTTTGTGTGTGTGAGAGGTTGTTTTTATGCCTACAAACAGATATGTCCTGAACGTGATATTGTGATTGTTGTTGATTAATCTGCCGATTTTTGGGATGAATTTCGTTTAAACAGGGGGGGGGGGGGGGGGGGGGGGTTGGATAAATTATGGATACATTATTTTATTATTTTTTAGACGAAACCTTCATCCGGTTCATTTTCGAAAGCTTCATACAATTTATTTGCGCCCTATGCCAACGCCTGTTGTCTCCCTTTCGAGAGTCTAAAGGAATGTGTGTAAATGTGTGTGTGCATTTTACCATTTTGTGTGTCCTTAATAATTGCTTTCTGACGGTTCTGTCTGAGGGAGCGAATTGCCTACCGACTCGTGTGAATCATTTTATCTCTCTCTCTCCACTTTGCAAAGTCTAAATTGTTTATTGGTAAATATTGGTATGGGTTAATCGATCAGCTTATTAATATAACCCCTGCGTGTTGAACTTTCCCTCAGGTAACCCTGGATGGGAAAATGAAAATACCAAACAGATGGGACCATCATTGATGGAGGCAGGGCTGCCAAGCACAGGCACCACCGGCCCCTCCAACCACCACCTGCAGGTAAGGAGGGTTAAGTGCCTTGCTTAAGAACACAACAACTGTGACAGCCTGAGCAGGACTCGATCTCACAACCTTCCAGCTACAAAACGGGCACTTAACTTCCCTTCCACCGTTATTATCCCAGAAATAAACAAGATAGAAAAGATAAATAACACCATTTGACACAGAGAAATACAGATGTGCATTTAAGAACAGGGGAGGAAAATAGCACCAGCCACTGGTCAAATGCAGGTAAATTTATGAAGTGGTGTGTAAATTTGAAAAAGGCACAAGCCACCATGGTGGGTTAAAATGGAATAAAAAACAGCCTTGCACTCCTGACTTGTGGGCAGCAGCAATGTACCTGGGGAAATGTTTTTTTTTCTCTATTTCGAACAGGGGCCTCTTGGTCCCAACTACGTTTACAGCAGACATCATATACGTAGACGCCTCGTGGACAGGCGCTGCCAATATGAGCTGACATATCAGTGTGGCCGCCATCTTGGATGGGTTCCCATTCATCCCCAATGCATTTATTTCTATGGCAGAAAGTGTTTGCCCAACTAAAAACACATTTTATTCTGCCTTACAACTAAATCAGACGTGGTAAGGCATGACAAAAAATATAAGTGAATGAATTTTATATTTTAATAAAAACAAGTTTTATTGTTCATTTGAATTTATTTTACTCTCTCTCTCTCTCTCTCTCTCACACACACACACACACACACACACACACACACACACACACACACACACACACACACACACACACTCTAATCTAACATTCAGTGTGAGGACCATCATTGACTTCCATTCATTTTAGTGACTGGATTGCGCCTAACCATAACCAGTCTACTCGTAACCCTAACCATAACTAAAACTTAAATCATACCATACCTCTAAAACTAAGGAGTAGAGCTCTGTAACAGTGTACCAAAGAGTGGACCAGCAAAATGTCCTGATGTGAAAACCCACCCAATATGGCGGAGAGGCTGGACGTCTCCAGCGCCCAATGGGGCGTCTACGTATTCATGTCTATAGTCTTTCCCTCCACTACCACTTTCTCCCAGAAAGCATTCTTTCATTTACCAGTTACCCCTGAGCTCTTTTTTGGAGGAACACAGGGATTTCCTTCATGAGCTTTAGAAGATGTGATGTCACCAAATAAAATTACTTGGGGAAGCTCAGAGGCTAGCGAATTACCATGTAATTGGTGGGTTGCTGGTTCGAACCCAAGCTCTTTGTTAGCTGTGTCAGACTTTGTGTCCTTGGGCAAGACACTTCATCCTCCCTGCCTACTGTGGTCAGAGGGACCGGTGGGGCCTGTGTACCCCAGGGCAGCTGTGGCTACATCTTCTAGAGTTGGTGATTCGCACCTTCATCACATCCCGGCTAGACTACTCCAACTCCTGTTTATACAGCATCAGTAAAGCTACTCTGTCCAAACTTCAGCTCGTCTAGAAATCAGCAGCAAGGCTCCTGACTGAAGCTGACAGAAGACAGCACATCACACCTGCTCTTAAGTCACTGCATTGGTTGCCTGTTCAATTCAGAATCAATTTCAAAATTCTGCTCCTTGCATCCAGGTCTTTGAACAGCCAGGTCCCTCCCTATCTGAGCAAACTCCTCCATTTCTACCACCCCTCTTGTGCACCTAGGTCTGCAGATAAGCTCCTTCTCATTGTTTATAAGGCATGTTTGAGGACTCGCAGGGAAAGGGCTTTTTCTCTCTGTGCGCCAAAC